CACCACATAAGCAAAAAGAAAAAAGCTGGAAGTGGCGCTGTGGCTCAAGTGGTAGAGCACTAGCCTTGAGCTGAAGAGCTGAGGGGCAGTGCCCAGCCCCAGAGTTCAGGTCCCACGACCGGACCCAAAAAAAAACAACAACAAAAAAAAACAAATAAATTACCATTTAGTTTTATAGGGATCACCAACCTATGACCTGGAGTACCCAAAAGATAATACACACAAATCATTACATGTGAAACATATCCACGACCCCAGAACCTAAGATTCACACTTTGAAAAACTAACTACAACTTCTTTTTGAGGCAATTTTGCTTAGTTAGCACATTACACCCTCCACCCCCAGTTTTCCTTCTTTTGTTTTTGTACTAGCATATTTGTATAAAAACAGGATCTTTGTTGCTTAGTAATTCATCTGCTCCAGCTGCTGGTACTCTGTTCCCAATCAAAATTCTTGGTTTTCAGCCTCCTCATCACTTTTATATAAAGAGTGAAGTAAACTGGACAGACTGGCTCCTTTCCATCTCTGAAGAACACCAGGCGCTGAGCTGAGTTCCAGACATTGTCCCTCTGTTTGCTTCTAGGTTCGGTTGTATGTGTGCAGACTAAAGGACCGAACCATCCACGAGTATGAAAAGTTGTATTATTCTTGGTCTCTAATACCTGGTCTATCAGAACTCATCAAAAAGTGTGCCAGGAAGCCAGGTAGGTGCTGGTAGTTCACACCTGTAATCCTAGCAACTCAAGAGACTGAGATCTATCTGAGGATTGAGATTGGAGGCCAATCCAAGCAGGAAAAGTCTGAGAGACTCTTTATCTCAATTAACCACAAAAAGCCAGAAGTGAAGCTGTGGCTCAAGTGGTAAAGCATGTGCCTTGAGCAAAAGAGCTCAGAAATTACACTCAGGCTGAGTTCAAGCCCCAGTATCGGCACACAAAAAAGTGCCCATTGAAATGGATTTGTTGAGCTGAAACCTTCTGTACAACGACTTAAAGAAAATAAATAAAAATATACACAAAAAGAAAAAATGAGAAAAAATATGCACTGATTAAATGAGAACCCCCTTTACAAGTTTCAAAATTCTCCAGCTTCAAGGTAAGGAAGGGTCAGAGAGGGGATATACATATGGGAGAGGATTCTGGACCAGGAGCCCAGGGAAAAATCAAGAAGGGTGGGGGGAGGAGGGGCACACACATCTATGTTGCTAGAAAAATAAGAAGTTACTCCCTCAGGGGGGCAAAGCATATGGGAAAGCTGGTCACCCACCCACTCTGAGTGTCACTTCATCCTAACGTACTTTATTAATCACAGACATGCACATATATTTTCCAATGTCTAATTCTCATCATGTCCTTCTCCATCCTAGATCTGTCTTGCTCTTTCCCAGAGCTGTTTCACCAAAAGGGACAATAAACAATTTCCTAGGCACTCATCATTATCAACTCTGACATGTTATAAATTACCCCCTGGCCGGTTTATGGACCACAGCAGGCCCATAAAACCCCTCCCTCACCAGCAGCCCACCCCACAGGAAATTCTCACTTCCCCTTTTCCCTGCTTTAGGGCACTTCCTGAAGGAGTTACTGGGCCACTGGCCACCTTCTTTCTGTGACTGCTTGGTCCCCAATCCCAGGACACTGGAAGCTTCTTACCTGGAAGACAGTTGCATTCAAAAGTAAAGTCACCAGTCTGCCGGCAGGTGCCTCCATTGGCACAGGGGGAGGGTGCACAGGGCACATAGGGGCTGTCGCAGTGCTGGCCAGTGAAGCCCTGGGGACACTGGCACTGGTAAGAGCCAGGCAGGTTGAGGCAGGTGCCACCATGCCGGCACTGTCCTGGGATGTCACACTCATTGACATCAGCCTCACACTTCTGCCCTGTGAAGCCTGCGGGGCACTTGCAGGAGAACTGATTGGCCACAGTAGTACAGGTACTTCCGTTTGCACATGGGTGAGACAGGCAGGCATCAGTCCACTGGCACAGCTTCCCTAAAGGAAAGATAATGGAACTCAGAATCCATCTCAGAACCACGAGCAATCCATTCTCAAAGGGGACAGCAGGAACTCAGAGTTTCCCTATGCTCTTTGATTGCACAGAAGCACAAATCAGAAGCTCCTCAAGACAGCTTTCCAGAACCTTTCTAAGGTCATAGATGAGGCTGAGTCAGCAGATGGAGCCCATGAGGGGACTGTAGGTTGGTTATATGAAGCCCAGCCCAGCAGTACTCTATCAGCTGCTATGGCTCAGACCACCTGGTCTCTCACACCGCTCTGCTGTTACACAAGCTGCCCATGTGGTTTAACTAATGGACTCTCCTTTATCCTGACAGCTCTGCTCAGCAGTCACAACCTCCAGAACATCTTTTTCTTTTCTTTTCTTTTTTTGGTGCCAGTTCTGGGGTTTGACCTGTGGCCTTGCTCTTTCTCTTACCTTTTCCCTCAATGTTGGCCCACTACCATGTGAACCACAGCACCACTTCTGGCTTTTTGCTAACTAAGAGTCTTTTACACTTTCCTGCCTGGGTTGCTTCTAACCCTTATCCTCAGATCTTAGTCGCCTGAGTAGCTAGAATTACAGAAGTGAGCCACAACACCCAACTTTATAAATATGTCCTAATATCCCCAGCACCCACTCACGTGGGCTGTTTCCTTCTATAATACCAGATGCCATATCAGTGGAGTCTGACTCCCCATGAGAGGCCTCAAGCCATGTCTGTTGGATAAACAAAATATACTGATATTTTCTGTAATATGTGGTTACTAAGTAGACCTCTCAGATGATAGAAACAAGTCTGTACTACCTCTACTTCTTAAAACTCAACATATACACACATGCATTGTGTGGAAACCTTTGCTAGTCGTGGCTATTGCTAGAAGATACCATTTGATGTGTGCAGATGGTGCTCTCTGCATAACAAAAGCAGCAGAAGCTGCCACGTGGACAGGGTCTGGAACAGTATGGAGCAGCCCAATGTATGAACCCACGGAAAGCAGAGCAGATTGTTTGAGGGTAAAGAGAGGAAGATAGAGACAAGAAGAAGTATGCCCATGCTTCTAGTCAGCTTGGTATTCATTTGTTTTTGTTTTTGCATTAGTCTGTCTTTTGATAGACAGGATTACCACTGTGGAGCCCAGGTTGGCCTCCTGCCCCACTGCCCAAGGGCCAGGATTACAGGTGTGTGCCACCATGCCCATCCTCTAACCTAAATCTTTTTTTTTTTAAACTATGCTAGACATGAAAACTTCCTGAATTTGTTAATATACCCAACCAATAGTATATCTTGGACCCCCATAGAAAGACAAACGAGACAAGACAGCTTTGCTAAATGGGAAAAGGTATGGCATATATACACAGAAAAATGCTCTTTGCTTACTGAGGAATGTCAGATCCACAGGGGAAAAGTTTAGTACTAATTTGAGCACAGTATCTATAGCAGGGTGCTGAGCGGAGAGAAAACAAAGGACATTTTTGTTCCTGTTTTTCCCTTCATTCCTCTGGGAGGTACTTACCAATAGAAAAGTAAGGGGCTGGGAAGATAGCTCAGTGGTGGAGCGCTTGCCTTGCATGCATGAGGCCCTGGGTTCCATTCCTCAGCACCACATAAGCAAAAAGAAAAAAGCCGGAAGTGTCGCTGTGGCTCAAGTGGTAGTGCTAGCCTTGAGCTGAAGAGCTGAGGGACAGTGCCTGGGCCCAAGTTCAGGCCCCACAACCGGACCCAAAAAAAAAAAAAAGAAAAGAAAGTGATAGCCAGGCACTGGTGGCTCACGCCTTATAGTCCTAGCTACTCAGGAGGCTGAGCTCTGAGAATCATGGTCCGAAGCCAGCACAAGCAGGAAAGTCCATGAGACTCTTATCCTCCAACAAACTACTCAGAAAAAGCTGGAAGCATGGTACAAGTGTGATAAAGCACTAGCTTTTAATAAAAGGAACTTAGGGATAGCACCTAGGCCCAAAGTTCAAGGCCTGGGACTGGCAAGAAAGAAACAGAGAGAGAGAGAAAAACAGAAAGAGACAAAGAGATAGAGAGACAGAGAGGGAGGGAAAGAAAGAGAGACACAGAGACACAGAGAGAGGAAGGAAGGAAGGAAGGAAGGAAGGAAGGAAGGAAGGAAGGAAGGAAGGAAGGAGATAGAAAAACTTAAACTGGCCCTGGATGATCCCCAAAGTGATAGGACTCAAAATCTATTCAAGTGAGAGATATGTACAAATTCATTACAATAGAATGTGACACAAAAATAATAAAACTTAGCTGGGTACAAGTGGCTCACACTTGTAATCCTAGCTAATCAGAAGACTGAGATCTGAAGGACTATGATTTGAGGCCAGCCCGGAAGAAAAGTTCACTAGGTTCCATCCCCAAAATCTCCAATAAAAAGCAAGGGTGGAGGTAAGGCTGAGTGGCAGAGGGCTTGAGTTCAAACCCCACTTTGTACTTTCATTCTTTATTCTTTATAGAATAAAATAATAAAAATAAAATAAGTATAATGAAAAATAAATAATAACATGGTGACCAACTGCCTACAGGAAACACAAAAAGATCATTAAGACAAAGCTTTCAGAACACCAACCAATTACCATTTGCAAAAATGCCCATTCCACACTAAGGGCTTTGCAGCTTCAAGGCAGCAATAGGAAGTATGCCATTTTCAGGAAATGGGATTTTTCTTGTGATCCAGCCTAGATTCTTGTGGTTATGTAAGGCTATGAAAACATACAAGGCTTAGACTGTGATAGACCATGGAGGCCAAGCAGAAGAGTTTGCAGCTTATTCTGTAGATGGCAAAAAGTCAGAAGACATTACAAGAAGTAAACTTGTGAGACCATTTGCATTTTTAACTGAAGACAGAAACAAGATAACAGGGGAAGTGCTGGAGAGAACAAAGGTAGCTGCTAAAAAGCTACTTTAAGAACCCAGGTGAGAGATACCATGACCCTCAACTACAAAGTCACAGAAGAAATGTAGAGAGGCAGATGAGTGGAGAATAATTCAGACAATGAATGACTTCTCATTCCTTTGTACTAATACTAGGGCTTGAACCACTCAGGGCTGGATGTTGTCCCTGAGTTTTTTCCCTTCTGGCTTTTTGGTGGTTAATTGGAGATAAGAGACTCATGGACTATTCTGCCTGGGCTGACCTCAAACTTCAAACTTAGCCTCCTGAGTAGCTAAGATTACAGGCATGCGCCACCAGTATCTTGCTAAGTGACTGATTTTTAAGGGGGTTGCAGACAGGAAAAGAGAATTTTCTACATCTGGATTATGGTGGAGTGGACAGTGGTGTCACTTTTTTACATCAACATGTTGAACTTCTGAAACTTGTAGAATTGTTTTAAGGAGACATACACTAGGTAGTTAGAAATGAGCCTCAAGGGACTGGGAAGGTGGCTCAGTGGTAGAGTGCTGGCCTCGCATGCATGAAGCCCTGGGTGCAATCCTCAGTATCACATACACAGAAAAAGTCGGAAGTGGTGCTGTGGTTCAGGTGGTAGAGTACTAGCCTTGAGCACAGAGAGGCTCAGAGACAGTGCTCAGGCTCTGAGTTCAAGCCCCAGGACTAGCATAAAAAAAATTAGAAATGAGCCTCAATGGCCAGGTAGGGGTAGAGACAAAGAACTGACTCTGAGAATCATCTGTAGGTATGAGGACAGTCACAGCTGAAGCAACTAAAGGTAGTGATGTGCCCAAGAGAGCTGGAATATGGCTGAAAACAGAGTTCCAGGAACATAACAACTCAAGAGTACAGACAAGGAAATGTGGAAGAAAAGAGAGAATCTGAGTTCAGAAAAACAGAAAAGCCAGTATCTTGATAATTAGAGAGATTTTGAGAAGTATATTTCCCTTAATGAATCAACTCTGATCCTCAATCAATCTTGACATACATACCTTAAACAGTCAAATGCTTCTATATCTTTAACCCTTTTTCTTTCTCTTCCTATACCTTTTAAAACTCTCAAAGGAGTTAAAGAGAGCTGTCCAGAATGTTCCAGTTCCTGATCATAATGCTAAATGTGTACTGGAGCTAAAGAACACTTTGAGGCAGATACTAAGGCCAAGGGATGTAAAATAATGATATCTGCCAAGAGAAGGAAAGCAAGGGCTTGAGTCCTATCTGTTACCTGTAAAACCCACTTGGCAGGTGCACTCATAGGTTTCCCGGCTGAGCATGTGGCAGGTACCCCCATTCAGGCAGGGGCGAGACACAAAGCAGGGGTGAGAGGTGGAGTGCTGGCAGTCTTCCCCGGTGAACCCTGGGGCACATCGGCAGGTGGCTTTCCCCAACATGGCCTGGGCCACACAGGTCCCACCATTTTGGCATCGATTTGTCTCACAGGGGTCTCGATGTTGACAATATTCTCCCAAGAAGCCTTCTGAACATCTGAATTGGAAAAAGAAACAAGGAAGAGTCCATGAAAACACCTTCTGTAAGCCCAAAATTAAAAATAAAATGCCACAGTCCACTCAAGAAAACATGAAATGTCAGTCAAAAGACCTGAAGGTATTGAGCCAGGTACTAGCAGCTCACACCTGAGATCCTAACTACTCAGAAGGCTTGAGATCTGAGGATCATGGTTTGAAGCCAATCTGGGCAGGAAAGTCTGTGAAACTTTTATCTCCAATTAATGACCAAAAAGGTGGAAGTTGAGCTATGATTCAAGTGGTAGAGCACTAGCCTTGAGTAAAAAAAACCTAAGGGAAAAGCATCCCGGTCCTGAATTCAGGCCCCAGTACTGGGGCATGCGCGCGCACACACACGCACACATACACACACACACACACACACACACACACACACACTCACACACAACCTAAAAGTATAACTTGTAAAAAATACTTCACTTTAGGAGGCGCACTTAGAGAACTTAAGCACATACTCCCAGGTCCTGATTTTTGGCAAGTCACAGAATACCAGGTAGCTGATTAGTAGGTCTTCCACATCTATGAACATGACCCTCAGTCAAAAGCAAACCACAGGGTTGGGAAGGTGGCTCAGTGGTAGAGTGCTTGCCTTGCATGCATGAGGCCCTGGGTTCGATTCCTCAGCACCACATAAGCATAAAAAGCCAGAAGTAGCGCTGTGGCTCAAGTGGTAGAGTGCTTGCCTTGAGCTGAAAGAGCTGAGGGACAGCGCCCAGGCCCAGAGTTCAGGCCCCATGACTGGCAAAAAAAAAAAAAAAAAGAAGCAAACCACACAGTATCTTTGTTCCTGTAGTAAAAAGACTGGATGATGCTACAGTACCTTTCCATACAGCACTGTTCATTCTTGTCTGCCCAAATCAATTCACTTTCTCATTGGAACAAATCATTTGAGAGGATTAAGATGTTCACATGATAATGCATGGACTTGACCCCCTTTATCCTTCTAATTTAAAAATGCACAAGACATCATGTGCCTTTTCTCAATTAATTATTGAGATATGTTCCCCGTGAAACACTAAGTTGGTGTGTATGTGGTTTTCTGGGTTACATTCAGGTGGCTAAGACTACAACAGAGAAAAGGAAAGAAGGTAGATAGGTTCAAAGGAGCATTTAACAGTTAAGTTGTAGCCTTTCTTCTTTTTTTTTGTGTGCCAATACTGAAGCCCAAACTCAGGGCCTCAAGTTCTTACTTGGTTTTTTTGTTGTTGCTGTTGGTTTGTTTGTTTTCACTCAAGACTGGATCCCTTAAGCCACAGCTCTACTTCTGGCTTTTTGCTGCTTATCTGGAAATAATAGTCTCACAAACTTTTCTGTCCAGGCTGACTTTAAACCATGACTCCTCGTATCTCAACCTCCTGAGTAGCTAGGATTACAGTCGTAAATCACTGTGCCCAGCTGTTAACTCTGACTTTTTCTATCTGGCTAGAGCCCTACATATTTAGTTCAATCTATTTGTCTATCTTACATGGAGAAGGGTTTTTAAAAAAGTGAATCTGGAAACCTGTCCCACCATTACTTCTAAAATGCCTTGAAACCAAACTCTAATTCTGCCCCCTCAAAACCGGCTCTTGTCCTGTCTTCCTGTGCTCAATCATTGGTGTTCTGACTCTCCTAATGGCTCCGACTCGAAGCACTAGGGTCATGCTGGATTGCTTCCTGCCTCTGCCCATCATCTTCAAGACAGTCTGTTAGCTATTGAGTGGCCAGGTGATGTCTTTAGGAGTCAAAGTTCTTGAGAAAGGAAGTAAAGCAAGATATTAGGGAACTAGGACAGAGCGTGCTCAGAAGAACAGCACAGTAGCTAAAGTGGCTGGAGAAGAAACCAGAGTAGGTAAGCAGTGACAACAGCAGTGACATGATTGGACACAGCCTCCTCACTGCTCCCCCACAGCTACAGAAGGCAAGCCTGGCAGAAAAAGGACTGATAAGACTCTGACCTTCTACAAGAAAAGATCAAGGCCAGCTGCCCCAGCACATGCACAAAAGTCCAAGAGGCTCTTAATCTCTAATTAATCAGTAAAAACTCAGAAGTGGAGGACTGGCTCAAGTGGAGGAATGCCAGTCTTAAGTGAAAAAGCTAAGGCAGAGCATGAGGCCTTGAGTTTAAGCCCCAACACTGGCACAAAAATAAACAATAGGCCAAGAAGGCAGTGGATGGAGCATGCACAACTACTAAAGGCAACAATGAGCAGCCTGCACTCAGAAGTCTGGCCAGGAGTCCTGAACCAATCATCTCACATCTTTCCAAAAGAAAGAGTCAGAAGAGTGATTACCTACATCATGGGATTGTTGTGAGAACTGAACAAAATCAAGTACGCCAGAAGGTTTTACAAATGAAAAAAAAAAATGTCCTCTCTTCTTTGTGCTTACTGGGGAAAATATGATGCTGTATCCAAAGCACAGCTTGATTTGATAATAGAATATAGGATTTCGTTTGTTTGCTTTCTTGCTTGCTTTTTCTTAAGTAGAAGAGCAAAGAGCACCAACATGGCACAGCAAAAATTAATCCTGGGTTGGGTTATTAAAAACACATGCAGCATATACAAGAAATGTGTTATGGATGATGTTAAAATCTGCAACCTAATTCTCACCCACACTGACAGTCCTTTGGGTATTAGGCGTGGCTGAGACTCAGTTTTCCCAGATGGAACTATTCACCTTGGAAATGATGGCAAACTCCTAAACCTGGGTGGGCTCTTCCCAGCTCTGCTCTAAAACTATAGCACCCCTCCCATCTGCTCTGAGAATGTACAGTCATTTAGATGTTAGCATCACAAGCACAGAAGCAAAACATGAGGTTCCCAGGAAAACAAACACAACAACATGAAAGCTTCTCGAGCTAAGCAGAAATATTTCTAAATTCTGTTTCTAGGGCTTAATCCACATTGTTGCTCCCTTCCAAGTATGGAAAAATAATTTTCAACTACAACTAAGAAACCAGTAAAAGTAGAGACTAGCAAAGTACAGCTTGTGGGTCTAATTTTGCCTGCTGCCGATTTTTGTATGGCCTGTGAACTATGAACGTTTTCACATTTTAAATGGTTGAAAGAAAAATCAAAAGAATACTATTTTGTGGCATTTAAGAATTCTATAAAATTCAAATTTCCATGTCCATAAATAGTCCCATTGAAACCCAGCCATTCTTACTCATTTCAGATGGCCTGTGGCTGCCTTCGCATATGGGACACAAGAAGGCTTACTCTTCCAATCCAAGAAAAAGTTTGCCAATCCCTGGGCAGAGAATAGATGGAGTCTATTAATAGCATTCAATATGCTTATTAGTAATGATCTTAATGATGATGAAGAATATTCTCCTACTGCTTTCCACTATGAATACTAAACTCATAATATTCACTCATTAGGCCACGCACTAGTGGCTCATGTGTGTAATCCCAGCTTCTCAGGAGACTGAGACCTAAGGATCTTGGTTCAAAGCCCAGCCCAGGAAGAAAAATCCAAAAGACTTTTACCTCCAAGTAACCACCAAAAGGCCAGAAGTGCAGCTGTAGCTCATGTAGTGCTTGTTTTCCCTGCCCCCACCCCCACCCCGCCACCACAGGCCTCTCTTTCTCTCTTTCTCTCTTTCTCTCTCTCACACTCACACACACACACACACACACACACACACACACAGAGTTACACTATCTAGTAAATGTGCCAGACATTATCTTATGCCAGATATTGTTATGGTAGTCAGCCCTCTGTATCCATGGGTCCACATATATGGATTTAACCAACGCCAAATCAAAAATATCCAGGAAAAAAAAAATGTGTCTGCACTGAGCATGTTCAGACTTTTTGTCATTCCCTCAATACTCCATATAACAACTATTTACACTGCAGTAACATAGTACTAGGCATTGTAAGTAATCTAGAGATAAAGTATATGGGAGGGTGTGTGCAGGGTACATGAAAACACTGCACCATTTACAGAAAGGACTTGAGCATCCGCAGATTCCAGTATGTGTGTGTGGTCAAGGAGCCAAGCCCTGAGGATGCGAGGGAAAACCACTGCACTCATGGAGTTAAATTCTAGTAGGCGAATACAAAAACAAAATGAATTTAAGTAAAAGCTATACTGTGTTAGATGGAGTAAATGCTATGAAGAAAAATAAAACAGGAAGGGATGTAGCTGGAGACAGGACACAGAGTGGCTCGAAAGTAGGAAGATCAGAGATGGACTCAGTGAGGAGAAAGTAAAGACCTGACTGACTGAGGGAAAGTGTTCAAGGCAGAGAGAACCTGGGAGGTACAGAACTAATTTAGGGAGCAGTCCCAGCCTGTTCAAGAGATGCAAGGAGACATGGACATCTCTGCTGCCGTGAATGAGGAACAAAGAGAAAGGAGCAGAAAAAAATAGACAAAAGCTGAAACTGGGACCAGTAGGGCCTTTAGAGGCCCTTGTAAAGGTCTAGGGATTTAGTCTGAGACAAAATTTGGATATGATATACAACAGACTTTCTGCCCTAACAGTCATATACATCTTTTTTCAGCACTAGGATTTGAACTCAGGGCTTTCTGCTTACTAGGCAGGCATTTTTACCACTAGAGGCAGGCCCTCGGCTATTTTTGCTTTATTTTTCAAATAGGGTCTCTTTTGCCCTGGACTGGCTTTAGACTGAAACCTCTGTCCCCAGTACAGCTGAAATTACAGGTGTGAACCACCATGCCCAGCTTTTTTGCTGAGACAGGGTCTCACTAACTTGCCCGTGAGCCTCAAACCTCTATGCTAAGCTCTTATCTTGCTTGTAGCTAGGATTGTAGACATGAGCCACCATACCCAGCTCCTCTCATTTCTTTATAGTAACAACTTGACTTCCTATTTAAAACCTTCCAGCTGGGGGTAGCCATCAGCCTCTTTCTTTCCTCTTACCTTAAATATACAGTCTTTTAGCCACCGTTTTCATTAGGTCCCATTTCCCTTTCAAAACCTTTCCTCCTTCGTAACCAAGTTTCTAT